AGTCCATTTCTGGGTCGGGGGGTGGAAATCAGTTGTCAGCCATTGCACCAGTCCACGGGAAGGTGGTCCATCACCGGTGACACAGCCTTGGTCTTTCAGCGGGGGTTTCGGGCAACGTGGGTTTAAGTGTCTTGCCCAAGGACACAACGACAGCAGACATGAGTGGGTGCAGTTGGAGTAGGTCTTGTGGGGGGTTCGAACCCACGACCTTCAGGCCCAAAAGCCAATGCTCTACCAACTGAGCCCCTGTATTCAATTCAACTAAATTAAATTCTATGTATTTTTGTATAGCCTTTAAATACAACAGCAGTTGTTCCAGGGGACTCTACAAAGTTGCTGATTGATCAACAACAGATCAGAGAATCCAACAGTTCCATACAAAGGAAATGCAATAATAGCAAAAGTGTAAGAGCGGTCCACATAGGTCCATAGGGAGCAGGATGACCAGAGATTTCATACTTCATTTTTGCTTTTTTAATAAGCTAAAGTTGTAGATTTTATACTTGATTCTTGCTTCTTTAATACGCTAAAGACAGAGATTTCACATTCAATTCTTTATTATGCTAAAGTTCAATTTTTATACTAAATTCTTGCTTCTTTATAATGCTAAAGTTGGATTTTGAAGTTGGAAAGTTGTGTTTTAGACTTTTGCTGTGTGCTCCTCATCCCTACTGTAACTGCTGATACAATACTGACATTTCCCCACTGTGGGACTAATAAAAGGGTCTCTTAATCTTAATGTCCATAAATGTCCTTAAATGTCCCAGACCATCACTGTCCTTAGACCCTCCTGCATCGGCAAAGAACGACAAAAAAATACCCTTGGTGAGTCCCACATTGAGAGGGGGATCTGCAGACAGAGGCGATACAAGATCCACAGGTCAGGCTGTATAACGAGAACTAAGGTTGTGCAAAGGCAGGAGGACTAAGGTCTGGGGTTGCTCCCCGGTGCGAAGCTCGGGTATACTTTCAATCCACACATAAATATTGATGTAAAACGTTGTGAAAAACGTTTTTGTTGTGGCCATTTTTTTTGTCTCACTCCACACAGTGATGGAAGGGGAAATCGGAGAATGTAGAGAAAGAATTGTTTAAGTAGAGAAGCAATTTATTTCAATTTCAGGTAAGAAATTATGTGTATGTTCTCATTATAGGTAAAACAAAATCAGATATACTTGCATTTTGTCAAAGTTTAAGCATTTATTTATATGTTTGTTCGAAAAAATATGCATCCTTTTGTCCCTCCATCCATTCTCTTTCACTTTATCCATTGCCAGGTCTGAGGAGAGACACCCAGACGTCCCTCTCCACACACACTCAAAGGGATCTCACTACCAGGCCACGCAGCTGAGAGAGGGCCTTTCCAGTGTGTCCTAGCTCTTCCCTCGGGCCTCCTCCCGGATTCCCACACTTAACCCAGCCATTGAAGATGAATGGAGGAGGACATTTGTTGCATCACTTCTGATACTGAATGGTATTATGCCTGACCACCTTCTCCAATGTTCAATTCAATTCAATGTATTCTAGCCCTAAATCACAGCAGTAGTTCTCTCGGAGGACTTTACGAAACCGTTGAATTCGCCAACACAGATCAGAGAATCAAACCTTTCAAACACAAGTAATGCAATGATCAAAAAAACACATAGAGCCATTGGTCCATATGGGGCAGATGACCGATAAATGTTGTTCTAAAAGCTTGAAAAGGCCTTGGCTCCAGTCGCCTGCAGTCTAACCTGAGAATTCCCCTGCTAAAACCTTATCTGATCTCATGAATGGATTTGGCAAGTTGTGACTGTGAGTTGGTTGTGTTTGTATGTGTGTGTGTGTGTGTAGCTGTGTGTGTGTGTGTGTGCGCGTTTTTAGAGAAGTCTTGTGGGAGCACGTTCTGATACATCTCTGTCAGGCGGGCTGTGCGAGGCCCCCTGCTGAGATCCACCATGTTTTTTACTCTAAAGACAACACATTGTGCATTTCAAAGACACATTAGAACAGAGTTTGTGTATTCTGCTCAAATCAAAACTGTCAAGGTGACAAAACAACTTACCTAGTATTACTTTAAACGAATATAATGTTTCATGCATTACAGCTTTCTATCCGGGACAAGCTAGTTTTATGATTACAATTAAGCTGTGAGCAAACTTATTGTAAAATAGAGGGTTTTTTCAAGTGATATAAGATAAGATAAGATAAAGCTTTATTCGTGCCTCAGTGGGGAAATTTCAACATAACAGCAGAATAAAAGGAATAAAAGGAAAAAGTAAGTAAGTAAGTCATCTTTACTCATATACTGTAGCGCACTTTTACAAACCAAGGTCACCCAAAGCTCTTTCCAATGTTCAGAGTTCAGATATTTTCAGAAAAGGAAATAAAAGGAGAAAATAAGAGCATTCAGCTCATCCACATGTCAAACAGGATCTATTATTTAAGACAATAGATAATAAGATAATAAAACAAACTCTGGAGCTATAATTGCACTTGGTTCAAGGATAATTGAACTTGCAAAAAAGGTTAAGAAAAGTTATGAAATATGAGGTAACAATTGCTTAAATCAAGTGGTTTTTACCTTGCGTACATCTGAATGTCTTAAAACAAGATTTCCCATTATACAAAACCATTTCAAGAACTGTTGCAAGATATTTGTTTTGTCTTTAAAAAAAAACAATGGATTGTCCTACTGACAAATCTTGTTTTGAAGCAGTCAACATGTGCTAAAATTAATGCCAAATTTGAGCCATTTTTGACAAATTTTTCATCACTTTTTGCAGTGTAGTGCATTATCAGAACAGGTGAATGGCAGATGTGCAGACTCAGCAGTTCTCATTGTACAGTCTGACAGCAGCAGGACAGAAAGAACTACAGTAGCTCTCTTTTTTAACAACATTAAGCATTAAAATCACCTGTTTCTAAATAATAATAAACAATAGGTATATGAATAGAAACCTACAATATGGAAAGTCCTTGAAAATGCAAACTGCAAATCCACGTAGAAGACCCCCGGCAGAGCAATCAGTGCAGCTAATCATCGCAAACGAGTTGGAGAATTTTGTAATTACAGTAAGTGAGCCGCTGATTTGGTGTCACATCATCAGAAACAGTCAATATATAGACATTGTTTTTTTATGAGCAGGAGTGAACAGCCAAGGTGGAAGCAAAAACATTACGGTTTCATTTCACAAATCAATATTCAAAAAGCTTTTAAAGATATCTGTGGCAATAACCTGCCAATCTCCCCCCCCCAGCACTTCCCCAGAGCAGCAGCAGCTGTCCAGCACAAACCAATACACTAAACAATAATTGACTGCATCTCATTGGAAAAGCAAAATTGGTTCATTGCGATTTAGCAGCAGGTGGGCCTTTTATATTGCGCTCCCACAGAGAAATGCAAGGTTTTTTTCATATTTTTTTTTATGGCGAGATCAATATTGCTACAACAGGGCGTGAAGGCCATAAAGCAGATGGTCTTGCAGCAATTCACCTGGCATAAAATAATAGGAGTTTTATTCAAATACAGCAATCCTGGACTCTCTTGACGATGGAGAACAATTCACGGTCCATTATAGATCGCTTACTGAAATCAGGTCGGGAACACGTGGAGAGGTGCCATGAGCGCGTACCTGAAGCGTTGGGATATTTGCCGCGGTAATTTTCAATCTGGATAATAAGCCAAAAAATTTGCAATTATGCAGGTCATTAGTAAACCCAAACACAAGATACTTAAGGTTTGGTACTTTGAACGAGGAAACATGAAATGCAAATGATTATCTGGGATGTTAATGTCTTGGATTGGATTTTTTTATTTCAGTTTTCTTTTTTGGTTTTGTTTTAGTTATACTTCCTTGTGTTTCACTTGTGTCTATACCATAGACTGTATATATCAACGGACAGAGTCACGCCTATCTCCGCCGTTCTAACTAATGGGCCAAACAATGTGCTCTACTGGAGCAATCCAAAATGGCTGCGAGTGGTCCCGCCCGCAAGAAAATTGTGAAAAAACGCATCTGCTCATGTGTCAGCCGGCGCATCTCCATTCATTTGAATTTTTGAAGACAAGACAAAAATTCACAGCAAGTAAACTAGAGAGGTCAAAAAAAACCCACCCCCCTCAGCATTGACACACATGTGGAACGGAGCTTTGGGCCAAGAGCCAGCTTTTGGTCCATCCTGTAAAGACGTTTTCGAGAGGTCTGCCAACGCTATATGTTAGCATTGGTTAATTCTACTTCTGGGTCGACCCCCATCGGCCCGGGGTGGTATTGCAAGCATGTCAGCGCACGTCATTTTGGGCACTTTTGAGCCCGGACCCGCCTCCACTGGTCTATACGCTGTCTTCTTCCCCATTTGTTGCTGGTCCAATGTCGATTTGGACTTACCTCTTTTATTTATGCCTTGTTTAAATCATATTCATCCTCAATTATTTTGTCATTCCAGCATTTTGGGTCCTTCCTTGTAATTCCACATTGTGACAGTTTAAGGACATTTAAGAACATTTATGGACATGGATTTCTCTCTATGAACCAATGGCTCCTATGGGTTTGTTATTGTTGCATTTCCTGTGTTTGAACAGTTTGATTCTCTGATCGGTCGTTGAAGAATCGACAACGCTGTTGTGATTTAGTCTATACATACATTTTTTGAATTGAATTGAATCAAAATAACTTATTGCACACTTTTTAAACTATTCCAATGGCAATACTTTAATTTTGTATATTGGACTACACATATCTAGTACAAATCTAATCTGCGGATTTAATAAAATAATAAATAATAGGTCAGGAAAGCAGGCAGTGGTAAATAAAACCAACCTACCCATTAATAACCACAAACCACAACAATAGAATTTTGAAAGACCAAACGCATATCCCCAGACTAAACAGCAAAACCAAATCAAACCAAGAACGCCCTTCAATAAATGCTTAACAACGCGATTTGCACAAACAAATGTGCGGACCCCTTGTGCCCCCCACAGCCTGCGCGCCGCATCTGTTGGCTCTTGCGGGCAGATGTTTGAGCGCGGAGAGGCACCAGGCAGACCTCCACCTCCCGCTCACCTCCTCCTGTCCTCTGTGTGCCAGCTCCACAACCCTGGCTCCAGACCATTAGGAGGGGATAACAAGAGGTGCGGGGCCAGCCTCCTTCCTCACAGGGGCCGTAAGAGCACGCATAAAGCTGGCCACGAGGCAGAAGCGGCGCGGCGAGCAGGTTTGGGACGATGAAAACGGCCTTGTAAAAACAACTCAACCGGATCCAAGGGGGCGAGGATTCTTTTATGAGTTTGGAACGTGTGTTATTTTGTAACATTTCTGAGATGCGATAAGAGGTCCTTTATTCGTCCCACAGTGGGGAAATTTCAATGTTGTAGATGAACCAGTATTTGCAAGTAAATAAGCCGTCTTTATATATATAGCACATTTCACAGATCAAGGTCACACAAAGAGCTTTATCATTTTTGTTCCCGTAATACCCATTCACTAGTATTTTTCTTGCTTATTTCTATCTGTACATTTTACTGCAGTACAGCTGTTCATGGTTTTACACTGATCCAGACCAGAGCAGAGAGGATGCCCTGGAGCAATGCTAATTTTTCATTCAGAATTTCACTCTGAACCAGAGCGGAGAAAATGGTTCGAACCAAGCAGGCTCTACATACTGTACATCAACCAGCGGCTACACCAACTTTGGCGCTGTGACCTCAAGCGCTGTTGCACTTTCATACTATTGTTAGTAATCATTAGAATGATTTTGTTTGTATGGTATTTGTATTGCATAGTTTGGCACTTTACAGCCGCAGCCGCCCCACTGTGATACCTGGTGTTCCCAAAGGTCTCCCATCACAGTCCTAACCATGCCCTGGCCAGATTAGCTTCATATGTCTGGCTTTCACATGCAGGTACGGCCACAATTTACAGCTACATATCTCTGTATATTCTGTGTGATCATAACAAAGGTTCTTTTATCTTTTTGTATCTTAAAACTAATAACATGAACAGAGCGCTGCGAGATTGATTCCAGACAGTTTCCTCGGCGCACTAAGCCGTTGTTAATATGAACAGAACGAGCCTTCAAGTGCACTGGGACCGTGGCCAGCCTGGCATCGAAGTGTAGGGGGCGGAGCTCTGGACGGCGGCCATGTTGGACTGCTGTTATAGGAGGACTACTGATGAAAGTGGAAGGTGTCATTAGTCTTACTCAGGTGATGTTAGTGTGTGTGTGTGTGTGTGTGTGCGTGTGTGCGTGTGTGCGCGTGTGTGCGTGTGTGTGCGTGTGTGTGAAGCAGACCCTGTGTGTTCCATTTCACGGAGAGAGCTTCTTCTTCAGCAGGTGGTGACCAGACAGTGCAAGGTCAGGGCAGTGAGGTCAGAATGGGAGGAGGGGGGGGCAACAATGGGACGCACAGGCACAAAGTCACGTCTGATTATGTGGAGCATCAATCAAACTTGTGAAAGTAACTTATCCTCAAAGAAGCAGTCTCAGGTCAGTCCTTTTGTGTACCATAGTCTGCTGGTTTCATGCTTGATGCCGTTATCACAAAAACCATAATATTGCACACATGAATTATGTAATCGTAACACATTGGTTAACAAGAATGTTCCAAGTGATTATACTAAAATTAAACAACGTATCGTTCCACCATAAAAAGTCATTCAGTTTTGAGATGGACTTTTGTTATTGACTAATTTTCCATCATAACTTGCAAATACATTATAAATGAATACATTATTTTTATGGATTTATTTTATCATTTTGTTTCTCATAATTGAGCTAAATCTCTGATGAAAATCACAGGCATCTTTCATATTTTTAAAGTAGCAATATGTATGATTTTCATGTCAAGTCATCATTAAATGGCCCTAATCCGTCAAAAGGCATTAATAAACCATGCTTTTTCCAATACTTCTTTAACTGATAAAACCAGGATTTCTATCAGGGCCTTTGAGAAAAAGGTGTTGGTTATAGATTTGTTGTTGACAAAACTCTAGTCTATTCAGATATTATGTTCCCAGCTGGATTCGTCTGCATATCTGGCAACCGGAGTCAGGGAGAGTGGGAGAGGTTGCAGTACCACTTTTGGCCAGAATTATGCCTATTGCTCCTATATGTGAGAGCTCTTGCAAAATGAATGGCTTCATTTTTGCCCCAATACCAATTAATTTATTTTTGTTCTGAATTAGATCATCCCACAGAGGAGAAAAGTTAGTAACCCCATACCCATATCTTGTTGCTTTGTATATAAACTGTGCCATATAAATAAACTTGTCTGGCAAATCTGTGTCAAAGATATAGTTGAATCAAAATAAATTCCAGACATTTCTGATTTACTGTACTATATTTTCAGTCTATCTTGTGCTGATTTTTTTGTTTTTTTCCCCCCAATTGAATGGCAAATTCCACAAAGCCGACCATATGAGCAGTTTGGGAAAATAGAGTCTTTAAGCAGTCTATTATTATGTCTATTCTGTGTGAAAGCAAAGACATCCTACTGTGCCGGCGAACTCCCGCTAATAACCGAGAAGCCGGCGCTGGCACCAGTTTGGCTCGGGGCTTGTGGAACAGACTAAGAAACATGTACTCAAATTTGCAGACATGCCAGAAATGCAAGCTAACAGACTACCGCTAATCCCGCACAGTGTCCGATGCACAATGTGACAACCCGAGTCAAACGCAACTTGACATTTTGGTATTGATCTCCGAGGCGACAGAGAGGACTTTTGCAGTTAAGTCAAGTGCCAAAATGAATTGCGCCATCGATGCCAGTTGCGGTGTTGGAGGTGTGAAAGTATCGGGTGTCGTTGCGCCTTCAGCTTTCATTTGTTCATCCGACCCAAACCCGCGGGCTCGGTTTGTCCAAATGCTACACCCACACGCTAACCAGCTCTCGTATTGCTCTTTCAAATCATCACGAACCCACTGCAGCTGAGAAAAATCAATGCCCCAGCCACAGCAGTGATTCCAATTTGCTTTGCATGGAATTACTGTGATCCTCTCCACTCGCTCTTATCTGTCTCAGTTTCAAAAAAGATTCATAATTCTCAGAGCTCAAGCTACAAGCCCCCCCAAGCTAAATCCGAAAATGAACTCCACATTACCTACAACACAGCCAAAAGGGAACAAAGTAGTGCTTAAAGGGGGGAAGCGGTGGAAACGAGCCAAGTGCCCACTCAGCCAATCGCGGTGTAGGTTTTGTGGTGAACGCTGTCTTTGGGAATGAAGGGCCCATGGGGGACTGATGCCCTGGTTTGAAATACAGTACATGGCTGTAAGCAATGAGAATATGGCAAACAACATAGGAAATGGGATTGGTCATGCACTGTCGCTGAATTATGTATTTCTTTGAATCACTTTTGAGGATGTAGGGCAGTGTTTTCCCAACCCTTTTGAGCAAAGCAAAGCAAGTCTCATCAAAGTGTATCACGTTAATACTAACGAACTGGAAGGCTTGAAATTGTTCGATGTTCTGTTCAGAACCAGAAGTTTCAAGTCGTGTGGGAACCCTTCCATCCATCCATCCATCCATTTTCTTCCGCTTTATCCGTTGCCGGGTCGCGGGGGCAGCAGTCTAAGCAGAGACGCCCAGACTTCCCTATCCACACACACCTCCTCCAGCTCGTCCGGGGGGGACCCCAAGGCGTTCCCAGGCCAGCTGAGAGACATAGTCTCTCCAGCGTGTCCTGGGTCTTCCCCGGGGCCTCCTCCCGGTGGGACGTGCCCGGAACACCTCCCCAGGGAGGCGTCCAGGAGGCATCCTGAACAGATGCCCGAGCCACCTCAACTGGTTCCTCTCGACGTGGAGAAGCAGCGGCTCTACTCCGAGCTCCTCCCGTGTGACTGAGCTCCTCACCCTATCTCTAAGGGAGCGCCCAGCCACTCTGCGGAGGAAGCTCATTTCGACCGCTTGTATCCGCAATCTTGTTCTTTCGGTCATTACCCACAGCTCATGACCATAGGTGAGGGAGGTAACGAAGATTGACCGGTAAATCGAGAGCTTTGCCTTTCGGCTCAGCTCCCTCTTTACCACAACGGTCCGATACAGAGACCGCATCACTGCGCACGCTGCACCGATCCGCCTGTCAATCTCACGCTCCATTCTTCCCTCACTCGTGAACAAGACCCCAAGATACTTGAACTCCTCCACTTGAGGAAGGACCTCTCCACCCACCTGGAGAGGGCAAGGCACCTTTTTCCGGTCGAGCACCATGGGCTCGGATTTGGAGGTGCTGATTCTCATAAAGGGTGTGGGAACCCTTCTTGCAATATTATAAGGATGTATTTGATGTAAATTCCTTAGAAGAATAGAAGAGCGGGCCTATTTTGTTATTTTATTGTGTTATTTTTAATTTTAATTTTTAATTTGTTTTTATTTATTTTCTTTATGTATTTTTGTTCTAATTATTATTATTTAGTATTCTTTATGGTTGTTTGTTTGTACAGTATATGGTTACTTTGTACTTACTTGTTTACCGCAAAGTGGTCTAATTTTATTACGCCCTGGACATAATGTAAAGTGACTTTTTTTTTTTTTTACTGCATTAAAACAATAAAAACATTTTGAAATAAAAAATGAAAGTGTATCACATAGAAAATCACATTATGCCACGGGACACTGGTCGAAAAACACTGATGTAGGGAATCAAAGCTATAGTATGGGTCTGATGTGGGGCTATAAATGATAAAGGTAACACTTTATATCAATGGTACATGGGTTGAGAATCATGCATGAACGCATGAACCATTAATATAAAGTGTTACCATGATGGGTATATGTCTATTAGAGTTGTCGTTCTGACTAATATCCCATTTGCTTTTACTGTACGTGTTGGGTGTAACGTGTTACTAAGTAGCAAAATTACAATTTTAGTAAGGCTGTAGTGTAACGCGTTATTAATAAAATATGTTTAATTATATTACAGTTACTACCTAAATACTTTGTTACTGGGGGCACCGGCCTCGGGAAAGCAGGGGAAAACGGCACTACCGCTGCGTGCGTGCTTACGTCACGTTGAGCACATGAGCGAGTTTGTTTGTAAAGCAACATGGCAGAGCCAGAGAAGAATTTGTTTTACTGGTGGAGATATGCACACTATTTAAACTATATCAGTCAAAAAGATAAAAACGTTGTTGTGGAGTGCAAGCTTTGCGCGGGCAGCAAGCGATTGTCCACCGCAGCCAACTCATCCTCGAACCTTTTTAAACACTTGCAGCATCAACACTAAACTATTAAGCTAGTCGCTAAAGAGCATCTCAGCGAAGCCGCCGCCTCCGACAGCGCAGTACCAACACGATATAAACAACCTCGACTTGGTGGGTGTTTCCACATTCACAGTGGCGGGTGTTGGTGTTTAGTGCTTACAGCACAGAGAGAGATGAAGAGTGAACAGGACTTCAGCAGAAAAACAGACTTTTCTAGATGGAAATATTGGCACTATTTCAAACTCACTGAGGTTAAAGGTAAAAATGTGCACGTCGAGTGCACATTATGTTCCAGAATTAAACGAAAAAGTAACGCAATAGTTACTTTTACTGGTAACTAGTTACTTTTATTGTGGAATAACTCAGTTAGTAACTCAGTTACTTTTTGGGAGAAGAAACTAGTCACTATAACTAATTACTTTTTCAAAGTAACGTACTCAGCACTGATTATTGATATGGTCTATTCAATGGAAGTATAGAGTGTGCATTATTTACCTGGTGCCTGACTGAAATTTCGGATTGGATTCAGGTCTTACTAGAGTCTAATTATATCCATATCTGTATCTATTTACCAGCTGTGTTGATCCAGTCCGAAAGCCACGCACAAACAAGTTCCTCTGCAGTCGTATAAGAAGAAGGCCCTCTGAGCGCTGCCCTGATGTTGCATCTCCAGTGATACAGAAGTAATACAGACTTACAAATGGGGTCTGAGAGTGCAGCTCCGGGTCGACAGCATTCTAATGCAGCCTGGAGCATAGGCTTTCAAGACATTTTTCATTTTAAAGTTGGATGAAGTTGTCAAGTGCCGACAACAGAAGGCGATAAGGAGCGTGGAGGATTGTGCTTAATGCAGAAGAGGAGAAAAAATGTCACCACAGAAATAGCAAAAGTAGTAACATCAGAGAAGGAAAAAAAACAGGTGATTTTTTCTGTCCCGTAGATATCTGTCTGCAGGTACAACTCTAACATGAGCATATATAGCGTTGTCTCAAGCAAATTCTAGCAGGGTGCGTACCTGGTCCAGTCGCAATTCAGACCTTGTATAGATCTGGCTCAGTGACTCGACGCTAGATGCTCAAATGCCAATAGACTTCGGAAACATGGCGCTCTGGTGTGTGCCATATTCTCTGTCTGGTGCACACTGGAGTAGTCTTGCACAGTTTTTCCAATGTGGTTTTACTGCAGATGGCAAATACATTCTTGAATCTTTGTATGTAAAGCTGCTGCATGCAAATAGTAACATAAGTTATGTCACTTAATGCAACAGAATATAAACAAAACAAATTGGTCTTTTTGGACTCGATCTTAAAAAAAATATATATATATATTTTTGTCTATCTTGCAGCCGCACTACAGCGAATGTGTGGAGCTGGGATCAAACCACAAACATTGAGGTTTGCGGGCTCTCTCTTTGTTGCCTTTGTATTTCTTAAAAAGTCTAAATTCACCCAAAAGGCACAATCGCAAACCACTCTCCTCGCACACACAGCCTCACATTACAAAGAGCTTTTTACTTTGTGCTTCACAGCTATTGGAGAAACTTTGAATGCAACAACTTCTACTCCAAGTTCAATTGTACTTCTTGTATCGTGTGTGAGATAGCTGATGAAATCCACAGCAATAAGCAATACAATAAAGGATAAAAGTGTGAGAGCTCTAGCCCGGGATGAGGCAGTCTTCTCCACAGCACTCTTCTTTGTGATTCCAGGCACACTCTCACTTTTATTCTTATTTTAAACTTTGCCCCCGGTGAGAAAAATTAAAACCCTGCCTCCCTGCTTCACCTGCTTCAATGCACTCTGCATAGAAATGAGCCACGCACACAAACAGAATAACAAGGAGAAAGAGATGAATACATTTTTCACTTTTTCTTATAACTGTTTGCACCATATACCAAAGAAAATCCCTTTTATGTGTGTGTGACTGTTTCTATCTTGTTTTGTTCAGCCTTGTGTATGAATTGTGCTATACCAATAAACCTGCTTTGCCTTATCTTAGGACTTCCTGTTAATTCAGTTCAAATTTTAAATCTTTTTTTTCATGTTTGTTTATTCATTTATTGTTCAATGTACAGCAGACATTATCAAACGTCACTATATAGATTTTTCTAACAAATCGTTCATTAACAATTACTTAATATTGTGCGTTATTCAAAGTCAACAAGGAGTGGGAGGAAGAAAAACTATGGCAATAAAACTGTTCTGATACTGAAGAGTAAAAACAGATTTGCAATTTACTGAAAGGGAACTGGCACTAAAGAGCGTTGAGCGTTGCCATGACACCCATTCATTAATCATTGTAAAACTGAAGGGATTTTTTTGTTTTTTATATATAGGAAAATCAGTTTACTTTTTGTGAGGGCTTCTTTTCATGAATTTCTCCTTTAAAAATAAAACCATAGTTGCATTTTTCCACATTGTTTTTTGTCATTGTTGCATTCATGTGACAACATCCCAAACAGCCTATTGTTTCAAACTGTCATGGAGGGCAACTGAAAAAATCTTTCCTGGTAAATGGTATTTGTCGAAAGTCAGACCTCTGTAAAATGCTGTAATTACACATGAAACAAAACTGTCAAAAAGTTCTTCTTTGTGTGCACGTGTCATCTAATCTTGGGGTTCATATGACGTCAGGGCAGTGGTGTGAATAACAAACGTGGGACTTGACGTGACGTACCCTGCAGTATCCGTGCAGTCCGCCGGGTTTATACACGGAGATATAGTAGAAGAAGAAGCGCTGTCAAAATGCCATCTTTTTGTGCGGTGTACGGTCGTAGCAACAGCGCAAATAGAGAGAAAGACAAGAGTTTCTTCCGTGTTCCAACTGTGGTTTCAGATAAAGGAGTACACTTTGAAAAAATCACTCGAATGAGGCGGGCGAGGTGGATCAAGAATTTCCCAGATAAGCGCCCCCTGCAGGCCACCCCAATGAAACGCAGCAATTTCTTCTGTTTTGTATTTCTCTGACCCTTTTGAGAAATATTTTTAGTACTCCCTTAGAATTGAGTGTCCCCAATTAAGACTGTTACAACAACCGTACAGCGCACAGGATGAGAGCCTTTTGACTCCAAAACAGACACGATTTACATGGTTGTCAATGAGAGCAAAACTGAGTTGTCCCACCTCTGCTCATTCGCCCCCTACTGGCCAGTTTAATGAAACCCAAGAATAGTCTAAATATAGCACATAGAAAGGTATCTAGAAAACGTATGCATGACGATAACCTGGACAAAAGAATTCGGACATGAGAATATTATGACAAGTTTGTGAATGAAACCATCTAAAACATTTATTTCAAAAAGATATTATTCCACATGTTCTGGGTGATTATTTTTTGATGCATAAGGTCAGACCGAGCTTCCTAATCCAGTATCCACTAAATTTGGTGTCTCTCTTGATTCAAACCGGTCTGGACTCTTTAAACAGGCGCTGGCATGTACTGCTTTGTTAGCCCGTAGAAACATCTTATTTAAATGGTATCTTTCCAACCCCCGACATATGACAATTGGGTGAGAGATGTTCTTTGTAATTCCCAATCCCAATCTAAAGTCAAGAAAACGTGGCAACCCTTTTTGTCATTGGTGGATACAATCATTTTACTTCCGGACGCTGAGAGGGTTTTTTCTGTTCGGTGTTTTTTTAAAAACCTTTTTTAACAATACTATGAATAATTATTATATTTTTTTATTTTATTTTGTTTGATTTATCCTTTGTTTTTGTTTTTGTTTTTTTCTCTCATTTTGGACTTGTAGTTGACATACTACTCTACAATCTATCATGTTGATCTAATTGCTGTATGTCTTAACTCACTGACTACCAGCCGTTCTTGATGATTTTGCAGATTTTTAAGACCCACAGAATATTGTGTACTGTGACTATGTGCAAAAAGAAACCATATTCTGAAAGACTGGACTGTCTACTTTCATCAGCAAAAATAATTTGGTTTCTTGCTAGTTTTGTTCTCCTCAGCCAAATACGTCATCGAGCTCAATGAGTTAATCGTTATTGAAAAATGAATAAAGAAAATTGGATTAAAAAGTATTATTTCCCATAGAGTTGAACAAACACCAACTGTGATAGCATTCTACAACCTGAATCTAATCTAATCTGTTGTCCTTGTCTATGAGCTACAATTGGCTACCTGTGGTTTCATTTACAAATAACCATAATGGAAGCACAGATACTTTAGCACTTATTTCCCTTTGTTTGGATAACTCTTCCCAACCTAATTCTGCAGCCTTCACAAAACCAACGTATTAACCCAACACATTGTGGCAGAGTGGTTGCCTCTTCCACCAAGGTGTTCTTTGACCACAGCGGGAGCTCCATTTGCCCCAAAACACAGGCCATTACACACAAATAGACCCCTATCAAAGAGCATCTAAGACCTTATTAAGGCAGTGATTTAAGCCCGGCCTCCGCACACGTACTTTTATTCTCTCTATGTTGATCTCATTTCAGACTAACACGCGAGACGTGCACGGCGTACAGAAACCCAGAGCTCAATTTGTTATTTTTTTATGGTTGACTTGGTGGCAGCTGTTGGCACGACGACGCAATCAAACCTGCATCTGGAGAGAACCGCGAGTAAAGCACTGTTCAATTTAAAGCCTTGTCCTTTTGCTGTATGAATCTGTGTTCCAGAAAAAATAAAATAATAATTGTAGCTTCAATGGTTTACAAAGCACTATTTGGAATGTACGATTCACAATAATGCAAATTTCCATCCATTTTGACCATTCCTTCATCCTTTATTCCCTTTATTTAAGATCAGTCTGGGTTTTTTTTTTTTTTTTATCAGAGAAAAACCAGTTTTTCAGGCCTATTCTCACCTTCTGTTATTGGCTGCGTTTTGACAGGTATCTAACGTGTTGGAGTGTCCGGGAGGTCAGTGCGGTGGTGGGGCACTCTGAGGCAACACTATGCGGAGTCTGTCGGAGGTGTGAGGCTGGGCTGATGGCTGTGAACACCATGTCTAACGCTGGAGCTGCCACATAGAGACGCACAGAAACAATAAGAAATGATGATATACTGTATTTATGTATGAAACAGTGAAAGTCTGTATAAGTCTGTATAAGATGAAGTCGTGCATATGTACAGTATAGACCAGGGCTGCAATTATTTTCTCCAGGAGATTACAGTGGTAGGACCAGACCTGTGTTCACGCAGTTATAATTCAATATGATTTGAAAAAACCCCAAAAAACCCCACATTTTTTATGTTCAAATCTACGTCAGTTATACAATTTAAAACAATTGTGTGTATTTGTACACAAACAATTGCAAAACCTAACACACAACCAGAGGCAGATATACAATATAAACTGCCAAAATAGTCACTTTCTTGGCATCTGCGGCTATGTTTTGAGCTTGCCACTTACAATATGTACACGACAAAACAAAACGAAAGACGGACGCCAGCACACTTTCTTAAAACTGGATTGATTTTTGCATTTTTTATTTTCTATATATTTTATTAATATTTTCATATAATCTCACTGTTCTTGCTTGTGGATATTTGCAGAGATTTCCATATCATATTTGAGTCAAGTCCAAAATATCTATTCTCTATTTTATTTTTTTTATGATGCAGTATTCTACCAGCAAAATGCATGACTTATTCCTCCATTGTCTATAATACTAGGAATAATTGGACAAAAACAAACGAGGGTCGAGCCCAGGGGTTGGTTGATGCAGTGCAGCCGCTGCGCACAGACAGAGGGTTCAAAGGTACGAGTTAAACGGCTCATTAATGATTATCTATGGTCTCATCTGTCATGTTTGGCTTTGGTTCAGAACAAAGTGTGTGATCAGCATGTTACTCTGAGCCCGGTGCATCATGGGGGATGTGTCTTTTCAAGGTATAGTCCCAAGATTTAACCCATAACCAGCTTTTGTTAAGAAGTTAATTTATCTGTTTTTCTCTTGTTTTGTGAAAATTATGTGTGATTTTAAACTGTGATCATTTGCACATGTTTTTATACGATAATTAATCACGCCTGGTGTGAGCAGTGTAAAACAAATAAACTTGCCTTGTCTTGCGTACTCTGAATAAAATGATACTTTTTGCAATGGCAATGTTGGTGGGAAATATCTATAATTTGATATTTAACCAAAATACTGTAGTGCAGGTCATAAATGGGCACTTTCTGGTTCGTGAGGAACAAAAGGAACTTCAAATGCAGGGCTGCCAAAAACATAAGATGTTACAAAACTCAAAAATAATACAGGTACAAACAGAACTTCAAACTCAAACCATGAAGACCAAACCATGGACCGACAACAGGAGAGCAGGGTTTGAATACATAAAGGTGAAAAACATGAGGGTGGAGCAGGCATTCCACAGACAGGAAGTCAACTCAAGAAAGACAGCAGAACAAAATACGTCAAGATTAAAAAATCATTGGCATCTGTGGACTGGTTTTCCTTCGACCACCCCCCACCCTCCCTGCCTGGCCCAGCACTCTCAGTCCTTGTTCTACAGCCTGAGTCTTGGATCTATATACTTTGTCTGTCCATTGGAGCGGATCCCTATCTCAATATCGGTTTCTCACTTTTTTTCCCCACAGGTTTTTTTAATTATTCGTTCCTTCCAGGACGCAGGAGGGTCTAAGCAGGACAGTGGTGATGATACGGGACATTTATTAACATTTATCGGTCATCCTGCTCCCTACAGACCAATGGCTGCTATGTGTTTGTTTTGATTGAATTTCCTGTGTTTCAACAGTTTGATTCCCTGATTTGTTTTTGAAGAATCTTACTATTACAGTAAGATTTCCAACATCACCAATATTCTCAACAGTGTGACATACTGTAGAAGACCTTACAGGACCTCTACACACGATGATAAATAATTCACAGAAGCAGAGTATCATTGATTCACATCATGTCCATGTTTGCAGATCGCCTCCATGTGACCACTTTGGCTGAAATCAATCAGGGCTCGTTCACCGTCTCTGAAGATACTGACACAATATCCCGTTTCATTTGCATTTCAATTCATTTACTTATTGAGCGCTTGGGTGTAATGTACATATTAACACCATACAGATGACACCACATGGGTCTCAAAGCAGTCGGGAGAAGCGACTGTGGGCAGACCCCCTTTAAACATGCATGAGATTATAAGATTATTATGATTGTTATGATTGTTCTGGGTGACAATAGATTTGGACTTGATTATTCAGTTTGTGTGTGTGTGTGGTTATATGTGTGGCTGCAAGAAGTCAAAAAATCAATCAATCATTTTTTATAAAGCACTTTTCATACCCATACACACACGCACATAAACACACACAGACACACACATACCATAAATTCCGGACTATAAGCCGCAGCTATTTTCCCACACATTGAACGCTGCGGCTTATTGTCCGGAAAATACAGTACTCACTGTCAGATCAAGTGGGTAAATTAGGTAAAACCAAAATAAGATATATAGATATAGTGCACGAGTGTGTAAGCCTGTAATAAGTGTAAGTGCGTGTATGTCTGTAGTACAGTGTGTATGCCTGTTGTAAGCGTGAGTATGTCTGTAGTAGAGTGCGTATGCCTGTTGTATGAGTGTGTGTATGCCTGAAGTAAGCGTGAGAGTGTGTATGTCTGTAGTAAGCATGAGAGTGTGTATGTGTGTATGTCTGTAGTAAGCATGAGAGTGTGTATGTGTGTATGTCTGTAGTAAGCATGAGAGAGTGTGTATGTGTGTATGTCTGTAGTAAGCATGAGAGTGTGTAAGCATGAGAGTGTGTATGTCTGTAGTAAGCATGAGAGTGTGTATGTCTGGAACATAGACTGTATATATTATTGGACAGAGTCACGCCTATCTCCGCCGTTCTAACTAATGGGCCAAAAAATGTGCTCTACTGGAGCAATCCAAAATGACCGCGAGTAGTCCCGCCCACATGAAAATTGTGAAAAAACCCATCTGCGCATGCGTCAGCCGGCGCAGCTCCATTCATTTGAACGAGAGACTTAAAAAATTCACAGCGAGTAAACTAGAGTGGACCAAAAAAATCCACCCCCCTCAGCATTGACACACATGTGGAACGGAGCTTTGGGCCAAGAGCCAACTTTTGGACCATCCTGTAAAGATGTTTTCCAGAGGTCTGCCAATGCTATATATTAGCATTGGCTAATTCTTCTTCTGGGTCCACCCCCATCGGCCCGGGGTGGTATTGCAAGCATGTCAGCGCACGTCATTTTTGAGCCGGGACCCTCCCCCACTGGTCTGGACCTTATTACAACCCAGGATTTTCCTCTGTCAAAACAGCGACTAGGAAATAATTACCTTGAGTGTGTTTACTTGTATTTCCACTGATTTCTCCTCACACTTCGCCGTGCCTCTTATTAGCTGTAATATTTGTGTTTGTGATCACGAACGCACACACACGACTCCCTCCTGCTGCGGCGACTAACCCAGACGTCATAGCGAGTCATTAGCGTCAATGCGGCTGAGTTAAAGCATGTAAAGTATGAGTGACAGCCACAAGCCATTTCAGCGCTGATTAAATGTTTCATCTTTGACTGAGATACAAATGGAGAAGATGCTAAATTAACAAGAGAAAGAGCGTTTCAACCTAAATGTTTTATTTTTTTTCCCCCGATTCGCGCAGTGGCGTAAAATGACTGACACATGCAAATAAACAACAAGCAAGGAACACTCAGATATGATCCAAAGCGCTGAGCAGCTGTAGCGAGCTGATAAAGAGCAATGAGGGTTTTTGTTATCGATTGTCAAGGTTCATATGTGATTTAGTTTCACTCTGAGTATTTCAACTAGGACTACAGTTGATAAAAAAAAGTCTTGTTCGACCGAAGACATGCCCTTTCAATCAAGTAATTACTAGAAAGGGGGCGGAACAAAGGCATTGGTGAGTAATGTGTTTGTTTTTGTGAACAGCACTTTGGCTGAACTGTAAAGTTTTTAAAGTGCTTTGTAAATAAAGCTGGTATGGTATGGTATGGTATGGTCTGGGTGTAATGGGTCTAAACATGATTTTATGAAAACACATTCTTTATAAAGACAAAATTAATGTAGCTGTTAAAACAATGGAATCGTAGTTCTTATCTGTATCATCAACCCTTTCCAAAACTTTAGGTAGACTTATTTAAAGTGTGTTCATACCAGACCAAGCGATGCTACACTGCAAAGTCAAAAATTCAAAAATTCCTAAAATTTGGTAAGAATATGTTTTCATTTGAGCACATTTTGACTGCCTAAAAACAAGTTTTGCCAATGGGACACGCAAATGTATCTTGTTTTAAAAAGATATACGAAGAGAAAATAAAGCAATAGTTCTTGAAATAAGACTAAATGGATTGGCCCCTTGAAAAATCTTGTCTAAAGACAGTCAGAATAAACTCAAATTAAGATAAAAACCACTCAGTTCAAGCTATTATTTCCTCATATTTTGTCATTTTTTGCAGTGTTCAGGTTAACATGCAAAGTCAATATGAATGCCTTCTGTGAAGTTTCTGGAGAATCTCGGAACCCAGAAATCAAACTCATCATACTCAAAGTCCGCCCGCCGCTTCCTCTGCACGTTTTCCACTTCCATGGTCTGCGCGTTGGTTTTTAAGAAACAAACTTCCAAAAAACGTTAAACTGTTTACAACTTAAGATGCCAGCAACCGATTAATTGAACAAACAACATAAGGTCTACACATCCACCCATTTTCTACCCCTTAATCCATTTCTGGGTCGCGAGGGGGGTGGCCAGAGATGCCACCCTTTACACATAGCACCAACAACTTAAGGTCAACAGCCCTAATGTTAACTCTATTGAACTTGCCATTTACTGTTGGTCATTTTGTCCTGATGGTGTCATGCAAATACTGGACCAAATACTGGACCGGGCGGCACGGTGGCAGAGTGGATAGCACTCTCGTCTCTCAGCAAGAAGGTCCTGGGTTTGAATCCCGGTCGGACCAGGGCCTTTCTGAGTGGAGTTTGCATGTTCTCCCCGTGTCTGCGTAGGTTTCCTCCGGGTACTCCGGTTT